TTGTAACCCTTGAGGGTCATTGGTATAACATGTACTGCAGCCATAGCAGCAGAGGTGTGTTTAGGACAAGATGGCCTGACACAGCCCATCAATCTTAAGGCTAGTTTTGAATTCAGAGTTCTTTGCCAGGGCTACATACAATTTTAAATTCAGAGTTTTCCTTCTCCTAGACTGGTAACCACCTCAAGGCAAGTGAACCCAGTAGGCTCTGGTAAAATAAGACAGATTCATCTCTTTTCTCAATGGTATTTTTGTGAAGGTACATGTAACTTTACAACTTAATATGCAGCTTAACATAAAACATAAAATGCTGCTGCTTCTGATGATGACAATGATGATGTTAGTGTATTTGTCAGTCTCAGGGAAAATATGGAGTCTACTTGGGGACTAGTTGCAGACACCTACTCAGTCACACTTGTTGTTTATACAGCAGCTATGCTGAGCAAACCTTAGTCATAGTTTCTCGTAGAAAGCACAGAATTTGGTTAAATAGCAAAGCAGGCTGAGTTCTCTAGACATAATTGGCAACCAGTTTAGGAGAAGGAGAACTCTGAATTTAAAATTTTATATAGCCTTGGCAAAGCACATACGATGCAGCTAATGATAGGAATATGGATTCCATGATCTCGAGCAAATGCAACTGATGAAGTAGGTTTCTGTATTGTTTTCAGTCTTTCACTCTTTTTTGTTTCTAGAAAGTTTGCTTACTAAAATAAAATATCAACTCTTATGATTGATATTTTCATTGGTATAGTGATATAATACACTGTTCTTTTTTGTCTCTTAACCAAATATCATTTACTCATTTCTATTTCAGAATTGCATTTGAGCAAAATTCTAGGACACATAATGAAGAAAGAGTGCTTGGAGAATTTGGTGCTCACAGGACAAGAGAGACAAAAGGTAATGGTGGGTAACTTAACTTTCAAGCAAAACTGGAAATGCAAAGGCAAACCTTACTAAGAACTACAAAGGATAGGAAATTGTGGGAGCCATGATCACCTACATCCTGAAGGTACATGACACATAGAAGAAGAAGAAACATTATGACACAAAGCCACAACTGTGAAGCACCCAGTTAGGATTGAACTCATGACAACAATAATGATATGCTCAGAAAACTAAACTTTGCTCCACAGTGACAGGTTCTAAATAAGTACTTACTAAGAATCTAGTGCTGAGAACCCCCACCTCCGCATATAGCACAAGGTCTCATGTGTCAATGAGTTCTGACCTGATGACAGCAATAATGAGACCATTATCTTCCTGTACTAGAACTAAGATATAAACTCTTTACTCTTGAACCATAGAATATAGAAACCATTGTGAGAAAGAACAATTGACGAGTAAGCTGACCTTGAACTTTCATCTATCAATATGGATAAGTGTTCTTTCAAGGAAGCTCTTTGCCTTGAATGTTTTGAAGACTTAAACTCACCCCAGACTTTGTAGAACTTATATATGATCTACTGCCAAAAATGCTGGAAAAATGGTTGATTCCTTGTCCCACTCCAGTAAGTATCTGGCTCCTCCTGCTATGCTCTATCTTTACAAGAGCCAGATCTGGCCAAAAATGGAGTCTTGGCTGGAGCTTCCCATTTCTTACTTTCATGTCTTAATAGATTTCAAAAGTATCTATGCAGCCTTCTGGGTGATGAATTATTTTCCACTTTGCTACATCAATATTTCCAGAGAAAATTTTCTGATAAGCTACATTCCCTAGATCCATCAGTTCAGCTAAGACCTGCCATGCTACATACACAGGGTTGAATCATCCTCATTGCCTTCATATTCCATTAGTAAAGAGGAAGTTACATTTGAACAGCTTCTTCCCAACTCATGTATATAATCCATCACTACAGATGCTGGAAACATGGTTGCTTTCCTGTACTGCTCCAGTAAGTATTTGTTCTATCTTTACAAGAGCCAGATAAAACCAAAAATGGAGTATTACTGCCATATCTGGGTTGGAGCTGCCCAGTCCTCACTTGTCAGTCTTGACAGAGTTAAAAAAATGTCTATGCAGCCTTGTGGGTGATGAATTTTCATGCTAAAATCCCTTTCCCACAAATGAAACTGCGCGAGCCTCTCGCTTCTCGGTCACTATACCCATGGCATGTGCTCTGATGAGCTACATTCCTTGATTCTACCAGTACCGACCCTTGCAATTGGGACCCGCCATGCCACATACACAAGGGTGAATCATCCCCATTCTCTTTGTATTCCATTAGTAAGGAATAAGTTCCACTCAGGCAGCTTCTTCCCAAGAAATGCTGCTTTGTGGAACAGACTCCCAAGAGGATACTTTTCCCAATCACTACAATCTTGGCCTCTTCAAGTCTAAGGTTAACCATTATCTTTCCTAGAGATAGGTCCACCTATCACCCAGTTCACTCTCCTCCTCCAATCTTTTGAACAGGAGTAGAGGTTTATCCCTTGTTTCCTGTTTAAAATTGGGTTTCCAGTTATTTCTAAATTCTACTTTAGCTCCATACTTCTAACATCTCTGCCTAAATTCTGAAATCTATACTATTGGGTTTCCAGTTCCTTCTTAAGTCTTTTCCTTCTCTTTCACTTCCAGTACCCCTTGCATCTTAGTGGTATTATCACCTTGCTTGGGGTGAATTGAAAAATAAAATTTCATAAACTGCACTTTTCTTTTGCTCATACAAAGCCACATGGTAACTCTCTACCTTGATTGACTCTTGGGCCTTGTATTGGGTAAACATTAGGACACAAAAAATGCCCTTGTGAGAAGGAACAATCTGGAATGCTTATTCCTTTATCACAAAGGCTTTGAGATTGTTTCTTAACCATATCCCCATGTGCTATTACATATATTATTTAAAAAAGATCTCTAAGTACCACAAATCCTTCTATTTTATTGCCAGATTTTTTTTTTAATTTCTCAAAGTTTTCTATTTTGGTAAGAAATTCTTCATATTTTGACCAAATGTCTAATAGGCAGATTTATGACTTATAAAGTATGTCCACAGAGATTTGGATCCATGCTGCCACATCATATTCTTTTTTGCCATTAATTCTTATTTGCACAAATTTTAATTGAGACATGCTAGAAAGTATGGAAGTGCAATAATTCATAATGTGCTGATTTTTTACAGGGCATATGTACCCATTAGATATGCAAACAATTGCAAATAAAGTAGACTCTCCTCACAAACTAGCAGGACTTGAACTCACAGCCTAAATGGAGCCAGATGTTTTTAGGTATGTTTGAAAGTGCATACATGGAGAAAATCAGAGTGTTGATAAATAATTCTATTTTTATTGCTAGTAATAGCAGCTCAAAAACAAAAAAAAAAAATATTTTAAATCAGTAAACATAAAATAGTGCAAAAAATTAAGAAAAAGACTGAAATGATAAAAAAACCTACATTGTATTCACAAATGTCCTGGTTAATAATAGCCAAGGGAACTCAGAGAGACAAAAACATAGATAATATGAAATCTATATACATTATTGAGCCAGAAGTTTTTTACAAAATTGTAAAATACATTAATTATAGTTATATATACATACAAACACACATATATATATATATATATATATATATATATATATATATATATATATGTGTATATATATATATATATATATATATATATATATATATATATATATATATATATATATATGTGGGTTGTGTATATAAGTGTATATTATTATAAATACTAGCTGAAGTACCTGTCTGTACTGGGTAAAACTGAGAGCTGATTATAATAAGAGCAGAACAATTTCTCATTACTATAATTATAAGCTGATAAGTTATTTAAAACTGCTGAATGTCCACTTTATATATATATATATATATATATATATGTTATATAAAGTGGACATTAATGTTTGCTTGCTCATTATTTATTATTGATTACCAGTGATTTCAATCTGTTTTATGATTATTTGGTTGTTTAGATTTTTTTGTTTATTTTATTTTTTTCTTATTTTTTTGTATTCCTCAAGCCAGATTTTTTAACGTAGTAAAAACTTGTTTTCCTGTTTATTTGTTTGACTGAGTAATTTGATCCTGTTTTCCTTATTTTACATGATATATTTGGTGTGATTGTGTTATATATATATAATGAAAGCAGAGTCCTTAGAAATCCATAGGTAATAGTTTATTTCATGGGATCAGGCCCCATCTCTTCAGACCCAAAAAATTTTACAGCAATAAATGCATTTTAAATTCATTTAGACACAAGCAAAATATATATATATATATATATATATATATATATATATGTGTGTGTGTGTGTGTGTGTGTTTGTGTGTAAACCAGCCTTATTCAATCAGTAACACTTGATCCATAACTAGTCATACTCCTTTTCCATCTGATTTTCAAAGTAAAATCAATAGTAAAATCATTTACAGTACATTTCTATAGTAAATTTTAATCTATGATGCATATAAGAGTTCTATTATTTCAGTAATGCTTGCAATAATCCCTGACTACTAACATTCCATATCCTCCTGTTTTTCAATGTATTGTTATTGTAGTATCATTTATGATGCATTTCTCTAATAATTTTTTATCTATTATACGTATATATTAGCCCTGTTCTGTCAGTAACACTTGCCTTAATTCATGACCAATGACTTTTTTTCCAAATATTCAATGCATTTCTATAATATATATAATATCCCTATTCTGTTAGTAACATCAGTTCCTGACTGTTGACAATTCTTTTCTTTCTAAGTGTTAATGCACAAAATACTGATTGAGTTTTGAAGTTTACTCAAATAAATTTTAAATCAAACTCTAAAACTGCAAACTGTTGTGGTGAAATCTTAAAATTGTACATTTAAGTACTAATGTTACTGTAATAAATGTAACAATTTTTAATTCATTCCTCAATTGTAGTCTCTTATAAATTCTTTTGTGAAGGGGGCCAAAAATTAAACCTTTCTACACTAAGCAAACTTTTGAAGAGAATATTTTATTGCAAAAACATATTAAACTATTGCCTTATGGCATTATCCTGTTGAAACACCAGCTCTCGTATAATCATCAAAGCTAAGCAACATCTGGCCTGGTCAGTACCTAGATGGGTGACCACTTGGGAGCACCAGATGCTGTAAGTTATGGATATGTGGGTGGTGTATGGATAACAACTCAGAATTGAAAATTGAGGAATTGAATTCCAATTCCATCCGGTTTGTTATAATCACTTACATGTAAATGCTTTTAGAAAAGGTATGAATACACCTCTCCTCCCCCAGCTATGGATTAATTAGTAGGACTTGCATTAATAAATCAATATTATCTCCCAAAAATTCTTACAATGTAAAAATATTTTCTGGCTTTAAATAACCTGCAAAAGGTTGATAAGTCATAAAAAACAAATCAATCAAACAAAATATTCTATGAAAATTGTAGAAATTGTTTATTTACTATACATGTTATTTAGCAATTTCAGAACCATTTGATATAATCTTTAGTATATATGAATATTTTCACAAATTGTGTAATAAGCTCTATCTGTGATATAAACTGTAATTATGTAATTTTAAAATGAGAACTACAGCCAGATGATTGACTTCTGTTTACCAACTTTAGCTGAGGTGTTGCTTTCACTTGGAATTAAACTGGAAATAGGACTAAATATCTGGGAAGTGTTTTAACAAAGGATGGAAAATGCGACATGGTAGAAAGTGGGATAGAGAGAAAAACAGTTAAAAGCCACAAGGGATAGGAAGTTGTGAAGAACCATAATCACATATTTTCTGAAGGTGATTTTAAAAAGAAAGTGTGAGAACAAATATTAATTACTTTGTTGTCAGACAATCAATAATTTAAATCCCTTACTTAAATAGGAATATAAAATAATCTTATCTTTTTGCAAACTGTTTAAATTTCATCAACAGGATAAATATTGAATCCGAGAAAAATTCACGACAATAGAAACAGATGGATAAGTAAATATGGAATAAAGGCTTTTCCCAGACAGTTTTTTTTTAATCATTTCACTCCAAGCAAGATGGGAATGCCACTAGTACACAGAGGGTGAAAGTAAGAGAAAAGACTGTGTATTGGGGCGGGGGGGATTGAAGAAAGGATGAAAGATGAATGGGACTCAAGAAGATAGAAGATGGCAATTGATGTTGCCTTACCTAATTCAACAGTAAAAGTGTGAGACCTAGATATCAGTCTAGTAGCATGCTTAAATTCACATAGTTGGAGCACCAGGAAAAAAAAGCTTGTCAAACCAGTTGCCATGGAAATATTTGTAGAAAAGACAGAGGGAAGCCTTGTCAAATTGGTGAGAAAGTGACTGAAGTTGAGATGCTAAGTCACGATCTATTTCATTGTAAATCCTTCTTTGGATTTTGTCAAGAATCTTGAGATGAATAGCAGAAGCACCAGACCAGATATTCAATGCACAGCCAAATCATAGATTTGTAAATGTGCAAGATGGACTCAACTAGAAAACCTTATGATACATTGATCCAACTTTCCTTGCAGTAGATGCAGCTATTGATTTGATGTAGTCATTCCATTTCAAGTCAGTTGAAAACGTGAGGCCAAGAAGGCACAGTCTCCAGGAATTTAGCATCAGACATGCTGATGGGGGTCAGGAAAGTTTCTCTATAGTTAAACATATCTTTTTTTCTTTACACTATTTACATACAAACTATTGTTCTCACCTTTGTTGTTGCTATCACAATGTTTTGACTGTGGTGTCCTCTAGACTTCATTGGGTAATCTACAGGGAATTCTGAACCCTTTATTCAATCTACAGGGTTGATTGTTCTTGTTCCACTGCACATGTCTAGGGATATCTCGTCTAGTTCTTATTTTTAGTACTGCTCAGTTATGGGTTTGAGTCCAAGTTCACATTGTCTGGCCCAGGAATTGAACTCACTAAATTCACAAACCAATACTTTAATCCACAAGGCTATTGTCCTGTGGAACAATTCTTTATAGAGAACTTGGAACCTTAAACCTAACCTGCCAGCTGATGAGTTGTGCTACTGCACTCATTGAAGCTTTCTCTTTTGTTACAGTTGCTGTTGCTTCTGTTGAAGATTTGCTGTCATTTCTCTTTATATTTTTATTAGAGACTTCCTTATCATAGTTATTTCTATGGTAGGCCTACTTAGAAGATCCTCATAGCTTAGGATATGTGCTGATTCTTTCAGACATTTAACTCTCCAGTGTTCTTATTGTCCACTATTGGACAAATGTCAAAGAGCAGAATTACAAACATCTTATACATAAACTCTTTTGTCTTTGTCTGACATTGCAAATAATGGAAAAAAACAACTTACAATTTGGCCGAGTTTGAAGTCTCTTTTATATCTTCTTCTTTTATGTGCCATTTCTCTTCAGGATGTAGGCGATCATAGCTCTCCACATCTTTCTGTCCCGTGTAGCTCTTTATAAATTTTGTCTTTTTGTTTTTTCTCCCAAATCCTGTTCTACCATACATTTACTCAAGCCCATTAAGTATAATATGTGCTGCTTTTTTTTGTCGCTCTTTCCCTCAATTTCTCCTGTAAGTATCAGATTTTCCAAGCCCACCTTCCTCATAATGTTTCCCAGAGACATCAACTGTCTCTTCATGACATTAAGTATAAATTTCCTTTTTGTTTCCATTTTTTCCAAAACCTCATCGATGGTTACATGTTCAGTCCATGGTTTCCTCAGCATCTTTCTGTAGAAACACATTTCTGTTGTTTCATCTCTTCGTCATCTTTGAAGAGATTGTCCAGTATTTACTGCCATACAGGAGATATCAAGTAACAGTTCAGTACTTTTCTTTATTTCTAATGAAATTTTCCTGTCTCTTAATACTATGCTGAGCTTTTGGAATGCATCTTTGGCAATCCCAATATGTCTTTGGACCTCAGGCTTACACTTTCTGTCTTCTATTAGAACACTTCCCAGATACTTAAATTTTTGTACTTCTTCAATTTTAAAAAGGAAAAGTGGAGCTTATAGGCAATCAAAATACAGTAATAATAATAATAAAATCTCAAAAATGTGGCACATGGGAATATCAACAATCCATGTTGTAGTTGGAGCCCTTGGATTGGTTGGAAAAGATTCCAGTAAACTAATTGAAGGGATTCCTGGATGTTCATGCCTTAAAAAAATACAAAAAATTGTTCTCATGAGTACAGCCCACACCTTACAAAGGGTCTTATCTATGTAAAATATGTTTGTGGTTCTTTTTTTTTTTTTTTTTTTTTTTAATTGGTCAGTGTAAAATGTCATGATGCCATTTCTAACCTTAGGTCCCTGGATGGGACCCAGAAAGAAATGTGTACACACCAGAAATCAAAGGAAATAAAATAATAATAATAATAATAATAATAAAAATAATAACATTTGGCAATCATAAAGAAGAAGAAAACATGTGAGATCATGGATTTAGATGTGTCAGAGGATCACAAAGGATATCTGAAAGAAAGTGAAAAGATATCTCGACCTTATCAAATAGCTGAGAACCTTGCGAAAGAGACTAGAGTACTGGGAACAGTCCTAAAGAGCCTAGGAAAAAACCTGGATGCACTAGAAATCAAGGGGAGAATTGGAATCATCTAGACAACAACATTATCAAAAGCAGGTAGAATACTGGTTTAAGAGTGTTTGAGTATGAAGAGAATTGCTGTCACTTAGGCTACCAGTTATTACTCAATAAGTGACAAATACTACTACTGCTACCACTAATAATAATGATCATACAAAGAAGAGAAAATATAAGAAATACATATATATATAAAAATAAAGGAATAATAACAAATAATAAAATAATATATTTGAATAATAGGAGTGAAGATGATACTAAATAAAAATTGGAAACAAGCATATTTTATTATGTCAACAAGAACAGTCGTGGTGTTGGTTGTGGTGGCTTTGATGATGATGATGATGATGATGATGACGACGACGACGACGATAGTAATAATAATAATAAAGGTGAATTCTAAAATGATAAAAAATCAGGATGAAAATAATCCCCTCTATTGGCAGGCAAATAATCCCGAAGAAAGATTATATTCTTCTAGAGGTCACCTTTTGTCAATGTCTTGTACAAGACCTCTTCAATGTATTTTCCATCCTAAACTCAAGAAATTCCACTTCTCTCCATAATGTCAATACATTTTTCTTTTAAAAAAAGGTAGGGAAAATGTTTAGTGACTTGCTTGAAAAAAACGAAAAACTAAAAAAAAAAGCTAAAAGATCATCTTTTAAAAAGATTTTATTGTCCACCATACAAAAATGAATAATTCACTTGTGCTTGTAAAGTACTGCAAAGAAAAACAAGTTTTATATGACCTGTTCTGAGTGCAGGCTAAAGTAAGGAAAAAAATTCCATTATGCAATGTATACTGATATGTACATATGTAAGCCTCAAGGTATGTTTTTGTAGATCTATCTATCTATCTAGTGATCTATTTATCTCTATTTACATCTATCTATCTATCTATCTATCTATCTATCTATCTATCTATCTATCTATCTATCTATCTATCTTTACATCTATCTATCTAGCTAGCTAGATCAATAGATAGATAGATAGATAGATAGATAGATAGATAGATAGATAGATAGATAGATAGATAGAGTGACTAATGTATAAGGCCTCAATCCCAGAAAGCAAGTTTTAAACTAGATAAAATAATGAAACTTGTATAAAAAAAATAAAGCAAATTTACTACTTTTCAAAATTATGAAGCTTGATTGAAAAATAAGGTCTTCAATCCTGGAAAAACATTTTAAACCAGATAAAATGATGAAACTGGTATAAAAATGAAGCATTTCTCTTTAAAATTGTTAAGGTTGATTGATAAATAAAATTTTTTTTTTCCAAATTTTCTCTCCAATTTTTAATTTTGTCCATGAAGAAAATTTTCTTCTTTGCTTTTGATCCTGTTGTGCACAGCAAACATTAACTTGAGTATCTGATGAAAAATGTTGACCTTTTTAATTTTAAGAATAATCAGAATTCTGATGGTAGCAAATGGGCCTGCACAGAGGGTGTGCAACAGCTGCACATTTCAGGTGTTTCATTATTTGTATTTTTGGTTGATTACAGTTTGACCTTTTTGTCATGATGCAAAAAAGGTTTTAC